AGTAGTTAGTTACTAATAATAACGTAAACCTAAACTAAAACTAAAACGTAAAAGTAAACGTTAACGTACGTACCGTACGTAGAGACAGTAGTATATATATATATATATATATATATATATATATATATATATATTAAGTATATATATATTTATTAATTCCCATCATCAATTTAGCCTAAAGGGTTCTTTTCTCGTGTCCTGCCCTTATCTCAGCTTCAAGTGCCGGATGAAGCATTATCGCTCCTGATGAGCATGGGCTACAAGGAAAATGCAGCTAGAAGAGCAATGAGAATGAGCGGTCAAAATGTTCAACAGGCGATTGATTTTCTTATAGAGGAAAGTGAAAGGAAACAACACCAAAAAGAAGAGAATATGATACGAAAGAAAGAACTCACGTGAGTTCACGCTTAGTTTTTGCTAAACACATTTAACCTTTGATTAAGCAAATGTATATGAAATATCTCACTGCACAGATATAGACCCTCTGGAAAACACTTACCTTTCTTTTGTGTGTGTGTTTCGTTTTTTTTTTAGGGTTGGGCAGGGCCGGGGGGGGAGGGATTTGATTTCACGCCATTGTTTCATTGTCATATAATGAAACTGATCTTTTAGAAAACCATGTTCATGAAATTTGTATGACCCAAAATTTTGCACATGCACTCTCTTCATCCTAAATATATCCCAAAAAGAAAAAGTGAATTTTTACCCGAGAAAAGGGTAAAATGAGTACCCCTCTCCAACAATGGATTCAGATCGTCCATTTGGTGGACATCAAGATCTAGGCCTTTGAGAACTCCATATCAGTCTTTTCTTTTTTAAAATTTTCCATGATGATAATGCCATCTATGAAATTTGGGATAGAAATATTATTTTTAAGGCTTAGATCTAATTATCCCATCAAATAGACGGCCTATGTTCGTTAAATTAAAGGAAACACTTTCTAAGGTGCGTTTTTGAAAGTTCTCTTTTGGAGATTATTCATCCAATGAAAAGAGTGTATGTTTAAAAAGTTGGGTCAAACAAATAACCCTAATATGATTTTTGGAGGTATGGTTCATTATATTAACACTTTCTAAGGTGAGTTTTTGAAAGTTCTCTTTTCGAGATTATGCATCCAAATGAAAAGAGTACACGTTTAAAAAGTTGGGTCAAACAAATAGCCCTACTATGATTTTTGAAGGTATGTTTCATTATATTACTATAGAACTGTTGTATGAAAACACTCCAGAGAGAGAGAGGGTTAAATGTTTTGGTTATTTCTTCTGAAGATTTGGTAGGTGGAAAATGCAAGGCTCTTTAAGACTTTTAAACAGTGCTGGATAGGACTTCCATATGCTAGAATTTCATGCCAGCTTATATACTTAAAGATGTAAAAATGTTGCAGGGAGCAGAGGAACTATGGAATGACACCATTAAAGAAAGTGGTGAACCTCTCAAGATTGGATTCATTGGTTTCCATTGGGTAAGCTTCATTTTTAAGAAACAGTACCTGCTTTGGTAGGTCTGCATTAGGATCCGAACCTGGGACATTCAGGCTCATGTTTCAGATGGAGTCGTGTGAACACTCCTGCAATTTGATATTATTCGTCATCTGCTGTACTTATTTTCAAGAAATTATTCCAGATACTCTTTAGAACTTCATTGCAGGTGATGACATTGATTATATAAATGAAATCATTGTTACAGCATGCAATACTTGGATTTCTAATTTCATAAAAATATTTTTTTTGTAATACAAAGAGAAAAGATGAACATTTATTTTTATAATCTGGCATTTCACTCAATATAAATTTTGGTTCCCTTGGAGAAAGAGAACTTCGTTTAGCTTGTACTGACTAAAAATAAGTGGATGTTAAAGAAGAAATTTAAGGGATATGTGGGCATTGCCTTACCATTTTTGTCTTCGAGGAATAGGACCAGTTAAAAGGCATTGTTATCTGATAAAACATATGTTCCATTATAAATGTAACTTCCTTGTTAATTGGAGTGAAAAATTCCCTCATGCAGTTTCGAAAGGGTCCTTGCTGCTGAAGCTCTGCGGAGGAATGAAAATGACACGCAAAAGGCCTTGGATGACTTAACGAACCCTGAAACAAATTCCATAATACAGGTCTGTGGATTTTTAGCTCTGCAGTTTCTCTTGGTTTCCTGTTTATTCACTATGGTCATTTCCACTTATGTTTTTTTTAATAAAATGGGTAAGTATCCATGTTGGTACTTAAAAGTAAATGGAATATCAGTATGTCACTAGAAAAATGATGCTCTAGCTATGTTTCTGATTGTATCATAGATTATCAGATGTAAATAATGATTATCAGATATAAATAAAAATGAACTATCATATCTTTTGCTCATTTTGGTGTTTGAGAAGGCGTATTGGACCAATTATATTTTTGCTTGCAGCTTTACATTGAGTCGAGAAAGCGCAAGAGGGCGACGCAAGCAATGGAAACCAATATCAATGGGCTCGTGTCCATGGGATTCGACAGATCAAGAGGTGATTGCCTCATACTCATATCTTCCTTTTATTTACTGTTATAGGAAATAAACCATAACACAAGGGGGTATGGTGTACAGTACTCCATAGGGGCTTCTGCTGTCCATTCCTGACGATGAACAGAGGATATTAACTGCATTGTGGCCCACAGAGACATTCACGTGGGCGCAGTTTATGTCCACTGTCTGATATCAGTAATGGACAGTTGATTCTCCTTTGAAGTACTACATACCATATTCAGATGGAATATGATGTACTTTCCCATTGTTTGAATCACTATTAACCTTAAGCCTAGAGTTGACTATTATACCCACTTGAGGTGTCCACAACCTTCATTTCTCAAATATTATGGATATCTGGTCCTGTTCCTGGCATGGTTAGCTGTAGTTTTTGTCATTTTACAAGGATGAATTCACTTGTTTTGAATATAACTCATCCATATAAACTTGTATTGTTTTCCACTAGGCAATTCAATCAAACACTGAAACCACTCGAAAATCAAGAGAATTTGAATGGGTTCACAATTTCACATCTTTCAGCTAGAACTTGAATTGACACAATTGAAGATTATAGAAATTTTGTGTAGGTCTGGATGGGTTATATTCATAATTTACTGAGCAATTGCTTCCCTTTTAAGCTGGAGATTAGAAAAAATTCTATAGGTTAAGATGCCTTGCTCTAAACCACTCAGATATGGCTTTAAAACCCTCCCAACCTTTTTCTTTCTGATTTCTTGAATGCTCATTAGTGCAGTTGCTGCACATATGTATTCTCATTTTAAGAAATTGCAAGTTGGCCTTTTAATTTTCTCGTGTAAGCAAATATGGTTCTAAGCGATATAGGTTAATCTGGCATGCACGTTGTAGGAAGGTTTCCCTCTTTTATATGATTAGACTTTTTACAATAAGTTGCCAATGGTAATCCTCCAATTATGATGATACGTTCATTGGACTTGCACCTGATTAGCTAGTTCTTTCCTACACTTCCATTTGCCTTTAAAGTGATTTTCATTGATGAAGTGAGATACAATTGAGAGTGCCTTAAACTTTCTCCATAGTAGCTGATTTTCACTTCTGCACTTCTATTTTGATTTCCAAGTAAATCTCAGTTGCAAAATTGACACGCAATTTGAAATAGTGATCAAAGTCTTGGCTCTTCTTCTGGAAATCAGTTACGGAAGCCCTTAATCAAGCATCCACAAAGGAAGAGGCACTGAGCATTTTGCTGTCCGAGTCACCTGTGGGCTCCAATCTCACCGAAAGTCCCAGTGTCCTCTATACAAATGAGGCCACCACATCAATGTCAGAGCCCACTTCATCGACAAATGAGGCAGCTCAAATTATCCGAGATAATGAGATGGAAGAGGAGCTTGTGCAAGAGCTCACTTCTGATCCCTTTGCTGATTATGACATTGATGTCACCAAGGAAGGAGAAGCCGTTGCTGAATACGTAGCATTGCTAAATTCTACACAAGGAGCATCTGTTACCACCAAGTAGGGAATATGAAAATATCCTCTTCTGTACAGTTCTTTTGACCTTGCAGGGGTCGAATCCCAAGGAGATTACTATAGATTTAAGTAGCAAGAAGAAATAATTGATTGAATAGTGGAAGGTTTCTTTGCTCATTTTCTTTTTTTGGAGGGAGGATATTATGGGTTTAATAACTTTAATTAAGTTGTCTAAAGCTTTGGTTCAACTTTCATCGCTTGTGAATATGAGTATTTATGCAATTCATACTATACTGGGCATTGTGTCTCACCAAGTTTTGCTTTTACCCATTGGCATCCTCATTCTCTCTTGATTTTAGTATTTGTCTAGGCCTCACCAATTCCGAAGAGGAAGCTTCCTCTTCTTGCTTTGATTGGCTAGAGCTATCAGAAGAAGAGGAAGAGATGCAGTCTACTCAATGTTCACAGTAGCTTTTACAATTACGCAATATGAAAACTCCGCCCTTGCATTGTTCTTTCGACACTGCAGCATTCAAACCTTTCGGGGATAACCACTATTGGTTAGCATAATGAAGGGAGTAATGTTGTGGATTACTCATGCAAAGCACTATGAACAAAGTAGCATTGAGAAAATGTCGTTAATTGAGTTTAGATGATCTCTTTTTCTGAAGAATTTCAGTGATGCAAGTGCACTCGAGTCACTTGGAACTGGCTCTTGGCCGGTTCTGTACAGAAAACCCAATAATTTAGATGAACTTTTGGACCGTCCATCTTAAATCTTGTCTCATAAAAAAAAATCAGTAACTTAATTAACTTCTATTGATTTTCAAATGATATGATATATTCTCTTGTACTATTTACCAATTTCCTTTCACTCATCAAAATATTACCCGCTTGCCCCTCTCTCTGGTGCTTTGATCTCCTTTCCTGAATCCTCCCTCTTTTCTCTCTTCTCTCTCTCTCTCCCCTATCTCCCCTGCTTTGATCCCCTTCCTCCCTTCTCTCTCTCTAGGTTTATCAAGGCAAGTGAAAATCAACGGTGGGGCAATTAGTATTTGCATATTCTAAGTAATATGTTTTTTTTTTTGGTTACATACTAAACAATATTTTTTCCTTTTTTTAAAAAAAATTAACTACAACTGCATTTTCAAAAATACTAATTAATTGGAAATTGCATCCATGAGAAAGCTTACATTGAATCGGGTGACACATGACGGCACCCTGCTCTTTTGTAGATTTTGGATACGAAACATATTATAATAAGAGGAAATCCATTTCCATCTTAGATCCATGAATTTGCGGCTCCAAAAATAGTGCTGATGACATATAAAAAACGTGTTCAATAAAATGTCTCAAATAAACTATTTTTGGATTTTAATTTATTTTTCAAATTCATGAAACTTGAGGCCAAATGTTTCTTTATTGAAAGTTTTAGTCCCACATGCCAGGACAAGCTTCCTTTTTATGGAGCTTACTTGGAGCTTTAGAGCCTCAATGTACAAAGACCTACAATTAATCATTTTCATTGTGGTTAATTGCATTTTGTCGACATATGATTGCTACTTCTCAGCTGTATCAAAATCGATTAATTTTTTGCCTTGGCTATCTAAGTTCCATCTATGTGCCCCATTTTGAAACAAGTTTCATAACCAAGAGTAGCTCACATCCTGTGAGCTTTTTTGTTTTTGAAAAATGTCACAAAATATATTAGGAGTAAAACATTACAACACTGATGAAAAATGAGATTACAAGGAATCACCTATAAGCATCAATTTCATATGAGACCATGCATTTGAGTGAATAGGTGAGGAGCATTGCATGGGGGAGTTTTTCTATCAAGATTCCATCCATAATTGCTTCTGGCCAACATCTTCCAAGGTCCCTTTTTGTTGCGATGACAGACAAAGACTTTTGCAGGAAATGAAGGTCATCTCTTGGAATATCAAAGGATTTGAAGAGCAAAGAAAAAACGGGTGTTACGATGGCTTGTTAGAGATGTTAAGCCGCACATTTTACTCCTTCAAGAAGCAAAGTTGGTGCTCCCTGGTTTCTCGTGTATTAGATCCTTCTGGGGTCTCGTTCTTTTGATTTTTTTGTTTTGTGTCATTGTTGGAACTTCTGATGGTTTGCTTGTGGTCTGAGATGCTTTTGTTATTTCTGGGTCGGTTTTTTACATCTCTTTTAGAATGTTGCCGATTGTGTTTTGTTGCCCTGAGCCAAACTCTTTAGGGCTTTGTCTAATGTTTATGGCCCAAACTACACAAATGAAAAGGTTTCTTTTATGATGCATCTGATATGATTTGTATCATAGGGACCAGGCCCATTACCTTGCCATGGGTTCGAGATTTTAATTCGATTAGGTGGCCAAAAGAATCTATTAAGGGATTGTCTACAAAAAGACTAATATCTTTTGTACATGGGAGGTCACAATCAATTCCGCTCATTAGATGTCAAATTAGATGGCTTGGGGTGAGTTTCTAAGTCAGATAAATATTTGTTTTGAAACTTTGTTTCTATTTAATGACACGCTTACGACCACCCATTTTGAAATTTAAAGAACAAGAACGATTGTGACCTTCATGTACAAAAAGTAAATGGTCTCTTTCTAGACAATCCCATCTATTAATGCTAATTGCGTAACCCCAAGAACAAATATTTTCAATAATTTCATAAATTTCAATGATCTAATAGGACTTCAATATAATCGTCATGACTTATACCTGGTCCAACAATTCGGTGGAGACACTTCAACTATCAAAATTTGACAGATTTCTGGCAAATTCTTTATGGAAGGAACATTACCCAAAGGCAATGGTTAAAGCACTGCTACAGTGAACATCAGATCATGTACCCTGTTGATGATTTTGGAAGGGGATAACTATGGCCCAACCCCTTTCAATTTGATTTAATGTTAATGGGGGGGAAAACCTTGAGAGAAGAGGTCTTGTCTATATGGAAGAACACAAAAGTCTCAAGATGGAGAGGATATGTGATTGCACAGAAGTTAAAAATTTTGAAAAATAGGCTAAAATTATTGGGTAAAGAGAAATTTGGATATTTACCATAGAAAATTTATGGGGTCTTTAGGGAGATTGATCGATTGAAAGGCATTAAACAAATTAATGGGAGTTTGTCCTGCAAGCAAAAGCAATCGAGAGATCAACTTAAGCACGAGCTAGAAGATTTCTGGGAGCAAGGGGAAATTTTTTTGGTGTTAGATATCTTGGAAAAATGGATTGAGGGAGATAACAACAATCAGTATTTCCATGCTATTGCCAACTCCAGGTGGAGATCGAATGACATCAGTGCCATCACTACACTAGGAGTAGAAGATGAGAATTGGCCTAAGAATGAATAGGCATTAATAGAACATTTTCATAAAGCTCTCTTATGATGCCTTTTAACATTGATTTAGGCGTTTATTAGAAAATTAGATGACAAATGTAGAAAGAGAATTCACCTCCAGAGGCTATTTTTTGAGTTGCCATGAGACATGGCTCTAGGTTCAGACGGTTTTCCATTGGTTTTTTTTTGCAATAATTTTCAGATGGGGTGAAAGAAGATATGTTGGTGTTCTTCCAAGAATTTCATCACATTGCGACTGTCAATAAGGCTTTCAACTTCACTTTATTACTCCTGTTCCTAAAATGAAGAATATTGAAATTATTCATGACATTAGACCTAACTCTTGTTCCTAAAATGAAGAATATTGAAATTATTCAAGACATTAGACCTATCAGCCTCCAAATTTAAGGTTTTAGCCAAAGTTCTGACTCGTAAATTAGAAAAATATCATAGTTGATATCATTCATGGACCACATAATGCTTTTATCGAAAGGAGACAGATTATGGATGATATTTTTAGAGCTTAGCAAACAATACAACATACAGGAAGGGTAGGCAAGAGAGAAGACTTACCTAAGAAAAGAGATGACTTACATAAAGCGTCTCTCAGCTCATTTTTTTATTATAATTAAAGGGTAATCTTGTGGTTATTTTAAAGCTCATTTAACCTTAGGCTAAAATGTTAAATGGTTCATAGGTTAGGTGTCTATTGATAATTTTCCCGTAAATTTTTTTTCATAAAGTTAATTGCTAGGTTGAAGAGATTCCATCTTCAAAATTTAGAGGCCTACTAAAATTAGGATTTACTTATAAAATAGAGAAAATGCTCCCACTGGAGTATAGAACTCTTGACCTCAATAAAAGACACTAATATAAAAGGATAAAGCCATTGTAAATAACGTATAATCAATGTCTTAAGTACCGGGTTGCCAACACGCCAGGCTGGGGCCCGAAATTTTATAGCTGGGGCCCAAAATTTTATAGGCCTATACTCTATTCTAACTAAGCTTGGCCCCGCCCATAAAATTTTTTAACTAGGCTTGGTCGGGCCAGGATTGGACAGAAGCCCAGGCTTGGAAAATTACGATTGGGCAGGCCCATACTATAATCTGCTTTTCTAAGGGTTGGGGTTCGAAGTGTTCGTACAAAGTGTTCGTACTAACCATTCCTCTCAACAGGCATTGGAGGAATTTTAAAGCGAAGGAACTGTTTCATCTGCATCTTGACCCGACCAAAACGAGGCCAGCCCTGAAGCCCAAGGAGCAGCCTGGCCCAGTGAACAGCCAAACACTTGAAAAGGGTTGTTAATGGGCTGGGTCCGGGCTGGGCTAGTAGCCAGTCGTAGTACTGGCCTTGGTTATATACTTTCCAAGCTATGTTGGGCCCAACCCTGGCCCGAGCCAGAAACCTGGCTGCCCAGCCCAAAAAGTTTTCTAAAATAAACAGAAATACAATTTTTTCCAAGAAATAGATATAATGGCCATCGTGACAATCATAACAACCCTTCTGCACAATTGCACTGTTATATTGCCCAAAAGGGTAGGGGGCGTTACCATCATAACAGCAAACGGAACAAAACCATGATTGAAACCCATGGTGTAAACCGCTGAGTAAATGCAACACAAAGAGAAATTACCCAAGAAAAAAAGACAAAGAAAAAAGGGATATCATGCATTCAATTGTGGAGGCTTTCATTTTGTGATAAACGAATGCCATGGGTTTTTTCCTTGTCAGAAAAAAAAAATAAAGGTTTTCTATAAGTTTCTTTCTTTTTCAACCGTGAACGAGTATGTATGCTACATATTATATGGCACTGGCTCATCATGACTCATGATTATGTGTCTGGGCTCAACAGCCCCTCCATTCTCGTTCGCTTCTCTAACGTCCGAGGCTCGTGGTGGTATCTCGTTACAATTGATGGTGTGCCAAGCAGGCCTTTCTTCTCGGAACATCCTGTTCAAAAAATAGGGAATTCAAATATAAGATTCAAATAATTTTAAACCTCGGCCAATATTTCTAAAAGATGGATTGGGTGAAGCTTTTGCTTTATTATGTAACTTATCAATAAGATAATTCTTATTGTCTCCATTCACAAATATCCTTCCGTTACGTGGAATGAATAAATCGAAAAAATTCTCATCAATATTTTTCTTTCAGTACCTTTGATTGGTTTGCTGCATGATCTTATGGAACAATGAAATACCTATGGTTTGATAGATAACATATTGTCCATTCCATTTCTCGATCGACGAAACGCATAATCAATACTCCCTTGTTTATAAAAGATTGTACAAGGTGATCCCAATTACTTATAACCATTCGATATGAAATTTGATAGCTTAGATGTGTCACAAAGTTCGAAAAAATTCTTTTTGAAGTTTGATCTTGGTCAATGGTATAATTGCAGCCACACAATTTCATATCCAATTGTCAAGATTAATGTGACCACCTTGTACCAAAGGTAAACAGTCTCATTCTATACTTTCCCTTTTAATAAATTTTGTAAGACGTAGATCCTTCTGAATCAGCATTATATCCAACCACAATCTATTCTTCTCTTTGAATAGAGGATTACAGACACTTAGGTATGGGATCATCTCCATAAATCCTCAACGCCAGTGTGGAGATGAATCAGTTCCTTCGCCTTAAAATTCTTCCAATGCCTGTCGAGAGGATGGAACGGTTCATCTCATCATCCATAGTTCGGGAAAGGTGCAGATGACCCTATACTGCACACATTTTACGTTGTGCATATTGTATCGTACACTTTCCATGTTGCCATATGTTTGAATTCAAAAAATATGATTTTTCTCCCCAATTTGGGGAAATATTATTATAACCTTAGTTCAAATTGAAGAGAAAATGATTAGATGATGGAATCATATCGAAGAATAGAAAAAAAATATATATGGATTCTTCAACTCAAGAAAAAAAAAAAAATTGTTCGGGTTTTTACATATCCAATGGTTGTTTTCAATATACATTTAAGAATCAGACAAATAGATATTTTCAACTTTAGGGGAAGAACTTACGGATGCCTACAGAGCATGGGACATTGAATTGTAACTGCATACTTGCATGTTGATATTTCCTTGATTGAGGTGATCGATACTCGGGGTGATTCAGAGCACATAAATCTTACCTGTTTTAACAAGGGAAAAATCAAAGTTAGTTTAAACTCTCTCTCTTTCTCTCTCTCTCTCTCACACACACACACACACCTCTGTCTCTCGGGGTTCATTTGTGAGGTCACAGACTGTCCCGTTAGTATATAGATGTGCGTGGTACCTGGAATCATATAAATTTTCAGCCTTCCAATACCTTCAAGCACAAGAGCCAGAATATAAGTTCACCTTTTCTTTTATATTTTGAGGAAAAGGATAACTTTCACCTGTCTTTTTATGAAGTCAAAATACTAGTTTACCTTTGAGCTGCATCTTTTGAACGAGGATCTTTTAAGGTGGAAACCCCAGAGTGGTTACTATTAAAGGCAGCTGTAACTTCCGGGTCGTACGTGCCCATAACAAATTCTTGAACAATCTGCAAAGATTGGAATGTGATTTCCAAATCAGCAATATTTCTTTTAAGTATGAAGTTGATCACAAAACAAAACTTAAACAATTGCTTTTTAAAGTACAATTAAATTAGATTAATGGAGAATTAATAATGTGAAAAGCAAATACTGATGGATCTTCCAATATTTTAACAGAAAAAAGAAAAAGTTGATAACGGCATAAGAATCTGCTAATAATAAAAAGAAAAGTAAACAAATTGTCTCCACTGATCAATGTTAACTGAGACTCACAACAATTAATCTGCGCTCAAGGGCAATTCTACAGAGATTTTCAATCAAGATCATAATCAGGAACTGCAGCTAATCTCCGCTGTCTGTCATTGAGCACCAACAGTGGTGCCACAAATGTGAACCTTACACAACACATGCTATGTGTGGTCTACCCATAGCTGTTGAAAGCGGGAGAGGGTATGTAACATGCTAGAAACTCCCTTGGCAGGGAGCATATTCTTTGCAATTGCTTAATACTAAATAAAAATATTTTAAAAATTATAAGTTTTATTAAAAATTGAAAAATCAAATATGTAAAAACAATCCCAAAGGATACAATAGAAAAATATTATTTCTAGGGAAATTGATAATGATACAAGGAACCTGAGTTTTATTGATAAAATCTTCTTTGTTTACATCTTCACACTTTACAACCTCCAAAAGCCTGTCAAGCGGCTTTATTTACAATTTTACATTATACAACCTCCAAAGTTATTGGAGAGAGAATATTGCAATTAAGATCCAAATGATTCATCCCCTTTGAGTGGCTAGGAGTGATACCTTAAAAAGGGCATTAAGATCCCAATATTTAAGAATCCTGATTCCATATATCCCCATCTTGGAATGCTAGCACGAAATCCTGGAGAGGGACCCACACCTAGGTTGGGAGATCCTAGTAACTACAATCTAGCCTCCCATGGTTAGTCCTTAAACAATATGATATAATTTCCCACTAGCAATCAATAAAACTAGAAATTTCAGTAAAATAAAGTTCCACTTTGCGCTAATTTCAAAACTCTTAGCTATTGACTCACCAATTAAATGCCCAAATTAAAAGCCTGGGCTTTCCTTAGGGTTATAAAGAATATTTTATTAAACCAATGGCAAGAAATTATAAAAGATATTTTATGCACGCTTCAGCTTCCAGCAGCTCTTGAACACCTTCTCAAGGTTTAGCCATGCTTCTATCATTAAGCAATTTGCTTAGTTTCTCCAGGAAAATGTAATACTGTAAAGTTATAACAAAAATATGCAACCGACCAGAAATGGCTAAAATTGATTTGTACTCCTACCCTTTGAGTTGCATATAAACAAAAACAAGCACTATGCTGAGTTACCATGTCGGGAAATAAGATATTTTACAGGAACTTCAAAGTGAAAACCATAGCAATGTCTTGATTAACAGGGTGGATTTTGGGATTTAGTGCAATATGTTACAAGTTTGCAAATTATTGTGGTGAAATGTTGCTGGGAAACTCATTGCAGTTATTTAACAAATCACAACCACAAAACTTCAAACTAACTTTGAAAGAAATGAACCCCGTTTACAACTTGAAACAGTTTGTAAGGATGTCACATTACAGAACAGAGAATTTAAGATGTGTCTAAACCTCTTCAAGTTCTCCAACTTTGTTTCTTTCTGAATAAAGCAAAATGTCTTATAATAAAGGTTCTCCTTTTCCTCTACAAAAGAACAACACTAATAGTGAGAAACTGAGAGCTGTAATAAAATCCAGAAGGAATAAGGTTGAGAGAATTGTTTCCAAAGCTATCAATGCGTTCTGAACTTAGGTTCCCCTTAAAAAGAAAGATATTTCCTAAATGGGTACTGATAGCTCCAATCTAGTTCTCAATGCATTATTAATATTATTTTCAACAAGTACACAGGGTATTCCTGGACTCATGTAATTCATGGCTATAAAATGACCATTATAATCTACATAATTTCATGTTCCAAAATAAACTTGTATGTGAGATACTATATAATAGAAATAGAAAAGAACTACGGTAATGTGTACAAAATGAAAAACAAAAATATTGACACATACTGTTGAGTGAATAATGCAGATACTATACTAGCGTACATTAAGGACATTAAAAGATTTGGTCTTGTTGCACAATAAGGAGCGTGTTTTATGTTATAAATTTAAGCATTTCAAAGTGAATGAAAGAACTACTGAAAATCATGTATAAATCTTCTAAAACACTGAAAAGGTTATTTAACATGTGTTCAAACTTCAAAGTGTACCTTGTTATCTTCCCAATGAACTTGTCGAAGCTTTTTGTGATAGCAAAATTCGTAAACCCACCAACCTTCGTGCTGTGAGAAATGTAGGCTACAGTCAACAGAATAGCCATTTTCTGACAAGAATACATTTTAATTCAATAGACTATGGAAAACCATGTACATTGGGATCATCACCATCCAAAAACATGATGATAATCATCAAAGGTCATTGAGGTCTGTTCTCTCTCT